TCGTTGCGGGGCATCTGGGTTCACCTCCTTTCATAGTGGTATGAATTAGATGAGGAAAAGCAAAATGTTGTCGGCCAAAAGTTGTACTCTCGGACTCGGTATAAATATCTTAAAGATTTTTCAATCTCCCACTAGCAAGAATATATCCAATGCCATAGCCTAGAACCCTCGTGGAATATTTACGAGTCTTGTCATGCAAAAGAATTAATGGCCATTAAAATCTGATAAGACGACACAAAATGCTAATAAGAAAGCTAAACATTTCTTTATTTAAAACAAATATTCACTCAATTTCAACAATCTCAATAAACTTACCCTTTAAAATGAAAATTCAAGAGTGTGTAGGAAGTTGAAGCAAGCAATTGAATTTTAACAATAGTGTCATTAAACGAAAAAAGTTTGATACTTTTGAACTAGTCACCATTTTGTCGAATCACGTTACTGTACAAGTCGTGATTGATGGGCCCTACAAAAATCATTAAAATATTGAGGAATGTGAAACTTTTTAACTAATCTTTCGGAATAAATAAAGTGGAAAGATATGATTACAAGACGAATGAGTTAAGCACGAGTTTTTAACTTGGAGCTCACAGTGTTATGGCAATAAACCCTTAACTGTTTAGTGCACCATTCAATAAACAAGCTGGAAAAGGGTTTTGCTTTATTGATAAAGTTAAGATCTAATTAAACCAGTTTAACTCACAAAAAGATGTACTAATGAAGGGTAAAGAATGAAATGAATACTAATTAACTCAGAAAAGTGATTGACATGTGCAAGGGTTAAATAGAAGACTAGAGATTAAGCCCCTGAGTGATTGATGACCACTTTTAACTCAGAAAAGTGGGTATTTACTGAAACATGGAAAGGGATAATCGAGATAAAGTGAAGAAGATTAATTAAATTTATACCAGTTTAACAGAAAAGTCACTAATAAAGATTTATTAATTTAAAGGTTAGTTGAACTTATCTTTCAATCTGTGTTGATTTTTCATCCAAAAATATCAATTTTTTGATCGTTATTTCATCATTTCAGCTTTCATTTTTTACTTTTATTATAGGTGGAATTCACTATTATTTCTAAAAATTAATTTTCGTAATCACGATCAAACAAGTCTTATATTTTTATAGATGAATAATGATAAAAAAATGATCTCGAGAACTTTACATTACATGCTGGTTTAATGTCAAACACGATTTCTTCTGCTTTTCACCTTTGTATCATAGCCCATTGGCCACATGCCAGAGGGCACTGGCGAGGACATGACGTAAAGCAAATACTAAAGCAATCTTGGGAAACCCTAGCCCTACCCTATTAGCTGGCTGAGTTCCTATACTTAAATACGTATATTATAACCTATTAGCAGGGACAAAGTTAGCACTCGACCAGCAATGCTGTCCGTACTGATTTCGGCAGAAAATTTTTCTCTTCCATATCTTGGGCGATCTCCTGCGTTCACTCGTCTGAATCCGTCCCAGTTCATTCGAATTGTTGGGTCAACCACGACCTCTTAATATATACAAGCAATCTATTAGCTGTAAAAATCATCTGCTTTGTTTCTCTCTACTTCTCAAAAATCATGGGTCAGATTCAAATGACAGAATTATTTCCAAACAACACTTGACAATCTTTCATTGAAAATTGGAAAGAAAAATAACACTTGAAAACACACAATCATAGGCTCCCAATTCACCCTGTTTTTATTCCCCCGTTTCCTCAGCATTATTCTTCTTTACGTTGTTGGGGGCAGCTTCCTGTGCAATATATACAGTATACTACTGTCTTTCTTTAGTCATGACAGGAATGAGGTGCAGAACCCTAAACCTAAACCTGATCTTTAGCCTAACAATGGCTATATTCTTAATGTCTCTGAATATTATTCCAATAACCAGCGTGCAGTTACATGAGCTGCTTATTAGTACATTGCGGGAGTGGGTCTGCACTGACGTCACCTAAATTAGGGAATAAATATTTTGAGAGGGATTATAAGCAAAAAATGTGAAAATTTAACCATCTTGAATCCTTCTTGGTAGTCTTAAAAGTGCGAATGTGATAAATATTTGCAAAAAATGAGCTCATTCAACTTATATGATGGTCTTGGAGATTGCAAGATGAAATTATACTAGAAGAACCTTGTTACATATACACTTTGTTTTACACCTTGTCACATAATGTAATCAAATTGGACAGTTTGAATTTCAGATGATTTTTTCATACAATGCATTGTTGACAACAATGTAAGTGTCAACCGAAGTGTACAAATAACAAAGTTCATAAGATTGATAGATGTAAGATTGTACCTTGCGTGGACTTTTTGAATTCCATTGATTGGATTGTACGATTATTAGAGTTCTTTATAGTTCATGCTTAGAAACCATACCAATCGAGTGTTGTCTTAAGCATCAATACACTTTTGACAGCATGTAGCCTAATTATATTAATGCCACATTTTATTTTTCATTTGTTAAATTTGGAAGAGAGTTTGAAACTTCAACCGGTGTTCAAGGTGGAAATGCCGAGGGCACTGCTTAGCCATTTAGATGGTTCGGTGACCTTTTCCTATTGTTAGTTGTGAGACATTGCCTCACGATTGTAACAGATTGAGGTAAGGGAGTCATGGACACAATTGATAGTTCGCATTCATTATAACTCTGATTAGACATGTCACATTTGCACAAAAACAAAATGTTTCCAAGGCACCAGCCTGAGAAAAAAATAGTGACCATATGTCAAGATTTTGTGAAGGTTTGTAGTTTTTTAGATAGGATATGCGATGATCAGATTACATTAAGAGACCATTGATGCTGACATCTTACAGCTTCAAATTCTTCAAAGGGATAAGTTTTTCAGCAGCGCTGTGTGTACAATTCTGTACACACGGAACCATTATAGAAGAGAGACAGCACTAGGATGCGTGGGTGCTTTTTTGCCATTTTTTATCACAACATGGTCCCACACAACACTCTTTTTTTTGGTGCATTTTTATGAAGCACTCTTCTGTCCAAATGAAATTGCTGTAAGTTTTTTTTGCAAATATGTTACTGTTAAAGGATTATAGATTGCTTGCTTTATTCGATTACTCATTTAGATTGTGCCCCTATTTAGTAGAGATTTTTTACAAAAAAAAATTTGAGTAAAATATATATATATTTTTGGACAAAGTGAGGTTAAAGAAAGGGAAAAATTAAGGGTCCACATACAAATTATTATATTGAAGTATGTTTGATTGAAAATTGGTTCAAAGAGAAATGATTATTAAAAAGTAAAAGACGTGAGCAAAACGAGACTCTTCAAGATATTGTGAATAATTCAGAATATTGCAAAAAATAACTAAGAACTTATAAACTATTTGAGTTCAATGCTTCAATCTTTAAACAACTATTTATTTATTTTCGAATTGCATTATTTTTTAATAATATTATCATAACGGATATTACTATGTGGCCAAATATTATAGTCACATATTTGAAAGCACGTCTTACTTCAAAATTATGAGCATTAAAACAAGCAAAGAAATAAAAGTTGGCTTTATAAAGCTAGAAATATGCTGGCAAATCTTATCTTTATAAAGTTTGATGTTAAAGTGCCATGCAATAGATTAATTGAGATTTGAACGTTTTCCACTAGCGGTGGCTATTTATCTAATTGGAAAGAATGATTCATTTTTACACGTTAAAAGGGTTGAATGCTTAGATATAAATAAAAAAAATTGTGTCCTGTTTTTTTAATAATTTAAGTTTTAAATGAGATGATTAATATTATATTTTAGTCATATAGAAGACTAGAATAATCTCAACGCTATTTATGCTCTTATTCGAGTTACATTATTTGCTACAAGAATGCATTTTTGGATATTATACTGATGGGAAATATGTTAATAAAAAATAAGAACAAGTTTTGAATTTGCGTGTAATAATATTCTATTGAAAAATTTGTGATTGAAATAATGTCAAATTACTATTTAATAATGTATTTTTTGAATAGAATATGAGTCAAACGGGGTAATATATATATATATATATATTCGTGTCTCAATCTTAACATTGTGTGTGGCATCTTACCTCAGTGAAAAATGTGTATATGTTATATTTTCATGTTACCCTTGCGTGATTTTTGACTAAAAGAATAAAATTGGTCAAAAAAATTTATTTAATTTTTAAAAGTGACTATTCAAATGACATCAATGTAGCTATTCTTTGAACAATTTTACCCTTAAATGACTCAAACATTATGTTCATATCGTGTGCATAATTTAGCTATTGTTTGTAGATAAAATATTGTTTTGAATAGTGAATTTTTGGAGAATGTGTAATTGAAAAGTGTGAAAAAAAAAAATTAAATTTACGTGTCAAATATTTTATTATGTAAATATTTGATTGAAAATGAATATATATAAAAAAATTGATAGAATGGGAAACAAAAGGGGCTTCATAAGCAAATGTTAAAAGGTTGGGAATATGATATCACATTTGTGGCTCTACTTGAGCATCATATTTTGATAGTTTAAAAAAAAATTTTTTTTATGAAAAATGTGTGATGAAAAATAAAAAGATTAATTTTACATGCAAAATTATTATTAAAATATGTCTTTGTTTGGCCTTCATTTCCCATAAACTCATTTTTTCAAAAATTTATTTTTAACCACACATTTTATAAAATCTACAATATTTATCAATTTTTATTAAAAATTATTAAAAATTCGATTTCAACTAATTGAAGGAAAGAAGATTGAGAGAATTTTATTTTTATTTTTTGAAATATAGGCATTAATTGTTTGAGCAACATTCTTTTAATAAGAATGAATTTTTGAATAGTATATTGATAGAAAATATGTGTTTAAAAAATAAAGAAAATTTTTAAATTTACGTGTAATATTATTTTATTAAAAAATGTGTATTAAAATAATGTCAAAATATTGTTTAAAAATGTATATTTTTTTTAAAGAATAGAGCTCTAACAGTGGCGTGTTTGCGTACAACTGAATAGGGTAGTAGGAAATAGGAAAAAAAGGCGCCGGGAAGAAGAAGACAATCCAGGAGAGCAGAGAATAATGGAAAATGAGTGGACAACTTGCTATAAACTAGCAGTAGCCAATACATAAACCACAGGATAGGATTTATGATTCCTGAACCAAAAACCACAATTTCTATTGTCACTGCATAACACTACTCGACTACACCTCGATGTGATCGTTCATCTCAGTTACTTTAAACTCCTAATTAACAAAAGCTTCATCCTGAGTAATCAGTAAAATGGCAGTGTTTTAGTGGCAGTATAAGCAAAGAGTCTGTAAGGGTTTTCATCGGGAAGGTAAAGCTTTGCAAATAACATGGTCACTCCCTTCTCCTCTGCAATCACCGCTTGCGATCTGCAAATCTTTCTCTCTTCTCTCTCCTCACTAAATCTATTTTTCTGTTAATGACCATAAAGATTAAAACCCCATTTTCAGTGGAAAAAAATCTGCACATACAACTTTCTCAGACAACTATTTAGGATTTCCCCAAACCAGTAGCATAAAACTCGGGAGACCACTGCACAGGGAACACTCAAAAAGAGAGAGGAAAGAGACGGATAGCTCATGCAAAAGGGTAAAAATAGGAGGGAGAGATATATAACAATACTTCGTTTTGTAAGTGTGTGAGAGAGAAATGGAGGTTGGTGGTTCCAGTAACACTTCATGTTCGATAGCTTTTGGGGACAACGTTAATGCTTTGTGTCCTACGATGATGATGCCTTCGATGACTTCTCATAATGCAGAAAGCAATGCCCTATATCTCCCTCTTCTTCCCACCACCAACAATCAAAACCTAAATCTTCACAAGAGCCCTGGTAATTCTTCTGTCATGGTTGAAGAACAAAATAACATTAGCAATAATAACAATATTACAAGCACAGGTTATTATTTTATGGGGCCGGGCTGTAGCAATCACAGCAACAGCAATGACGGAGAATGGTCTATTAAGGCAAAGATCATGGCTCATCCTCACTATCACCGTCTCTTGACTGCCTATGTTAATTGTCAAAAGGTAAATGAGTACCCAAAGTTTTCAAATGAACTTTACATACCCTAAAATTTCTGAGCATAAACTCTCTCAGAGGTTATACCCAAGATTTACTCTCTTGAATCGAGTCAAGAAAAAGTAGTGTAATAAAAATGACTACTGAATAGAGTGATGATAAAGACAGTTAAATAAGTAACCCTAAGCATATGAAGTACTACTGATAATGAAAAATATTTACAGATAGGAGCACCTCCTGAAGTGGTGGCAAGACTTGAAGAAGCATGTTCATCTGCTGCTGCAATGGGCCGCAACGGCACAAGCTATGTCGGTGAAGATCCAGCACTTGACCAATTTATGGAGGCCTACTGTGAAATGTTGACAAAGTATGAGCAAGAACTTTCTAAACC